AGCTTGGGTATGACGGTAACCAAATAGAGGGTGTCCCATCGGCCATTTACCTTGGAGTATCCATTGATCAGCATTTCAATTGGAAGTCTCACATTCGAAAAGTTGTAAAATCCATTGCCTGTAAGGTGGAAATTATATCTCGGCTCAGACATTACTTACCTAAATCAACTCTTATTTTATTTTACAACTCTTTAATTCTACCACACCTTTCCTATTGAATTGAAATTTGGGGGAACACTTATACTACCTTCCTGCAGCCATTACTTTTGCTTCAAAAGAAAATTGTTCGTCTTATAACTTTTTCAAACTACCGCGCCCATACTGCCCCTTTATTTAAACGACTTGGTATTCTTGACATTCACAAACTCTCTAAATTCAATACTTGCCTGTTCACCTTTGACCTTCTTAAAAATCGCTTCTCACATGATGTGAATCACTACTTAGATCCCCTTCCACATAACTACCCAAACCGACTCTCCCTTGAAAACAATTTTTACATTCCAAAAGTGCATTTAACTCAAAGTAAACATAATATCAAATACGCAGTTACAAAGCACTGGAATGCACTTCCCAATCACTTTAAAAATATTACACATAGACACATGTTTAAAAGTACATTAAAATCCCTCCTACTAAATGAGTAACATTCATTCACTCATTCATTCATTTATTCATCAACTTAGTTATTTATTTATTTATTTATTTATTTGTTCAGTTATCCAGTTATTTATTTATCTATTCATTCAGTTATTTACTAATTGATCAAATAATTGATAAAATATTTCATCAACAGTTTTTTATTTTACTTTACATTATTTCACTTATTTAATTATATTTAATTATATTTTTCAGTCATGCAGACACTTTCTGTGTATAACGCTAGGCGGGGACATGGACTAGACTAGTTCAATATCGAACTATTTCCGTGTCCCTCACCAGTTGCATTCCTACAAAGCAACATTTTATTTATATATGCATTTCTGTACATTAGTATTTATTTAATTTCCTTATGTAACTGGTGAAATAAATAAATAAAAATAAAATAAATAAATAAAGATACTTGACCATCAGAGGGCGCGACAGACCATGATACGCGAATCAGCTTGCTGACAACAAGAGTTGGATCTTGTTGATGGAAGAACCAACAGAGCTTATATTAACCTTCTAGTCCAGCTATAGAAGTTGTTCCAGAATGAATACAACAACGTTTGAAAAGCTACTTCAATTATTTGCACCCATTATTAAATACGAGGAATGCCATACTTCTTAGTGAAATCCTCGTTGTTACACTTTGCTATTTTGCTATAACTATATGATTATTGTATCGAAATGTAATAGGATTTGAAATAAAGTGTGACATATATAATAACATAAGAAGTGAAACTATTGAATGATAGGTGTGAAATATTAACTTTTAATACAGAGTATTCTAATCACACCATCGTGATATTTACAAATTCCCCTGTTAACCACCATACTCACATAAAAATTCATTGACATGTATAGCCCAAATAGAAATATTAAATTTTACTTTATATCTTATCAATCAAATACACTCTATAAATATTTTCTAATACTGTGGAATACTTTAATACTTTCCTTGGAATTATATTCGCTGAAAAGGCTTTTTGGGTGTTTTGTATGGAATTTATTTTCACTGATTTTTGATGAATTTGATGTGAAATATAGGAAAAAAAGTATATTCGCTGGGTTTTACTTTTTCACGGAATTATCCCTTTAGCGAAAATAGCGTACAGTATATAATACAGTATAATACAGTATATGGAAGAGGTTGATTGGTTATTGTCAATCAACAACCAAGAAAGTACGTCTCTATTTCAACTTGTTGCAATATGCAACTTGCAACATTGCATGAAGCACGAGTCAACTTTTGTTGTCAATCAAAGTTGATTCGTGTATCATGTCATTTACATGAAATATGTACATGGAATGTAACATTTCTAGTACGCCATCTAAGACAAGCAATTTTGAATACAATTATTGCCCAGCCCCATTGAATTAAATATAATTACATAATGTCATGGTACATTTGTCTTTCCAGGCCACGTTCCCGTGTGACTCTCTATAGCAATATAGAATCAATTGTAACGTTGCTGGTATTTTAAACATATAACAATTATAATTGCAACGTTCATCTGCAATTAGTACAATTTAAAAAAAAAAAGAAATACGGTACATCCAAAATATGTCTAAAATTTTTTCTAACTATGTATGACACAATATATATCACATTTTGAGCCATTCACGTCATTTTGTATATATTGGTACCGGTAATCATGAAAACTAGTATGGTCACTGATCAAATGTGTTTTATCTAGGTCTTTTCTTCCTGGTACCCATGCGATCGACTGCATGAACCTACCCGTGATTTCGCTTTGTTTTAGGTCTGGTTTTGGGGTCCGGATTGGATTTCTTCTGTCAGTGTACACAGTAGCGTTGGTGTGCAGCCTGAAGCCGGTCCGATGCTGCAGTGTACTTTTAGTATACTAACAGACCAGAAACAATCTGGACCCAAATTGACACAAAACCGTGGCTAATATCATGACATCAAACAGAAGTCTTTGGTCGAGCAGACTTTGAATCACAATGTTTTTTTAACCCCAAAAGTATGCAATGATTTCTCTGTCTTTTGATCAACTATAAATGGTAATCATGTCACGACAAAATGATTGTAGTGATTTGGTAGTTTGAAAAAGAAGAGTAAAGTTTCCCATGTGCACATGTGAAGAAAACACATGGACTTAGTGTTAATTGTTGTCATGTGCCCTGGACAGAAAATAACCTTCTACCGGTAGTAGAACAAGTCTTAGAATGAATCAAAGTAAAAC